GAGAACACCAAACTAATGGCATCCAACTTAAAAAAAGAATAATCTAAAACAGGCTTGCATATGCCATACATATGTGTCCTACATCTCTGAGGCCAGAAGAAAATTACAGTGTGCCAAAATTCAGACTGTTCATCTTATTTATTTTATTTTTATTATACTTTTGCACTGTACAGCCAGGAGCAAGGTGGGTTTGGGAGAGTGGCAGAGGGTACAGAGGAAGATTCATCTGGATTCTCATTTGAGGTACCTCTGTTATCTCTGGGCTGACTCCTAGCAATGGGTTCATATAGCCATTTTTGCAAAAGTGTCATTAGTTATGACTAATTTCCTTTTCCACTTTGACTTCCCTTGTGTTAAACATTCCTGCTTGATCTAGGAGCATTGAAATGTCCGTGGGCATTTTGAGTGAGGACACATTTCATTTGTGATAAGAGGGAAATATGTATGAGGTTGACAGTCATTCCATCAAGTTCAAATTCCTATGAACCGCATCAGTCTAGGCACAGCTTCTAGCAGCAGCCCTTGGCCCCAGGTGCTGACTCACCCTGTGCTGCCCGTGGACGGCTGGAGACCTTAGCCGCCAGAGAACTGCATCTTATAGCACTTGGACGTGGCCAGAGCAGAAGGGAAAGAAGTGTGAAGCACTGAGATCCAAAAGCCAGTCCATGGGGAATTCTTCAATCATTAGACTGGTAAAGTTATAAAGACAGCTTAGTTCTCATAAGCCCTTGCCAAAGGTAACAGTTTTTTTTCCTGCCAGGAGTATATATAACAGACTGCACACCCATTTGTAAAAGTGACATATAATTTTTTCTTTGTTGAAGAAAATAGAGAATAATTGGATTTTCCCATAGTTTCTATGTCTAGGGGGCATATGCCTCTAGTTTGACACTAAACAGAAAATATGGCTGGCAGTAGATCATAGATAAAAGAAATTTAAGAAGAGTCTTCCCAAATTCTTCAACAGTTTTTGAAATCAGCACATTCCCAGTGAAAAACTGTAAATCTGAAGTCACCCTTCTAAACTCTTGGTAGCAAAAGGACAAATTTCGATCCTTCTTGGTAGAAGAAGACTGACATACCTTTCTATTCCTTCTAAGGAATATAATACAAATTCACAGTCTCATGAAGAAGAGATCAAAGGGTAGGCAGCAAAAAGACACAGGGATAAGAAGACAATAGGCATGATTAGCGGCTTAATTAAGAAATTTGCATTTTTCTTCTGGATTTTGTGATGCTTCTAACCTTTGCAGCTTTCTTCCATTTGAAACTTGTGATTTTTCCTTTCACGTCTGTTTGTACAATTTTAAATGATTTTTTCTTTTAAAGCTCCCTGATTATGGATGCTTGGGGACCTACAATTAACCCTTGCTTGGGAGAGTAATGAGGAGATAAAGAAGGAGTGTGGAAAAGACACTTTGAGACACTCTGTTGAGATGCTGCCCATCTGAGCTGCTGCACATCCCAGCCACTGTTTGGGAAGCAAAATGGACACTGGGATGTGAAGGAAGGACCCCTGGAGCTGAAGCCAAGTGTGCTGTAAAAAAAGGGCACGGCTCTGCCCAAGAATAAACCTGACCCTCTTCTTCTTCTTTCTGCGGTGGCCACAGGTGACCACATTCCTTCTTGTGGTAAAAAAAGTAGCTCATGTTTACTGAATACTTTGCCCCCTGTCAACCTTGGGCATAAACTGAGTGATTGGAGTTAGTCCTCAGGATCATCCTCTTCAGGCATTTCTTATGACCCTCATTTTTAGGTGCTATATAATACTCTGTCCTCTAACAGATACTTCACAGCTGATGATGGGTTTACATCCTGATCAACCCCTCATTGGTTGAGAATAGTAAGGCAAACTT